GTTTGCTTGAAAGCGCCACCTTCATTTGGACACAGTATGCAAGACTGTCGAGAATCAGGAGTTTATCCGAGACCCAAGTGCAGTGTGGGCTTACCACTGGGTTTTCGGGCGAAACGGTGCATTTCCGACATAACCATTGCCCTTCGGGGATGTACGGAACCCCGTAGCAGTCTGCGCCTTTGAATCAATGGCTCTGCGAGAGGGGCAAAGCTGCTCACCTTGGTGAACGGCAAGATTGCAGCCATCACAGAACACGATCGCGTTGCTGTTCTCCCCTTCAGAATCATCGCAAATAGCGCAGGTGGAGTCCTCCGAAGGGAGCGCCAAATCGGGTTTGGGTATATGTTTAGTCTTGATATGGTCGTTCAGAAGATTATGGTGGAATAGCAGGGGCGACGCACCAGATTAAACCACTCTTTCTCTAACCGGTCCATCACGACCTCGAAGACTTCATGGGTGACTTTGTCCAATTGCTCCTTCTTGCGCTCTGTGTTGACCGCATCCAGCCATTCTTGATCTGCCGGGGTTATAAGTACGTGAAAGACGCGGCAACAAGCGCGCGACATACCTTGTTCGTCCATGTCATATTCGACTTGCCGCTCGAGGTCAATCTCCAGTGGCTCTACAACGTCGGTCGATACACGAACTACAATCCGAAGCGAGGAGACTCACCAATATGCCGAATGTACTGGTCGGGTCGGTGAAACTCCGAGAAGTTGTTGTCTACGCGTTTCGTGAGATCAGGAACCAGCCGACCAGCAAAGGACGCACAACCGAAACTGCGCGCTTGCCCGTCATGGACACCACTCGGTTGGGTGGAATCATCGTCTTCAATCTTCTGGAAAGAGACTTTGGGCAACACTGGAACGGTTGCTACCGGGGATGCGTGGCCGCCACGCGCCATGGTACCTCAGCACACCGCAACGGGTCCACAGTTCAAGAGTAAACTGAAGAATACCGTACAAAATTCTTATTTGACAAGCGTGTAAATGGCGGGGCGAACAAAGGGATATTTGGACTTGTTTAATTCGCAAAAACTATCCCGTTTAGGAAAAATAAAATAATAATCTACAGATAGCAAAATTACAAAACTACAGCTCGCCCTCGCTCTTCCCGACATGCGCCTCTGGAGTTGGCGTCGCCGCGGCGTGAATAGTAGTCTGCTCACCAGCATCCTCGGGCGCCTTGGCTGCTGCTTCACTCTCCACAGGCTTTTCTTTCTTCTTCATGGGCGGGGGCGAACCGAACCCATTCACGTCGTGGTAATTCGCAGCCTCCCCATTTAATATGGCCTGCTCAAAGTCGATGAGGTCGGAGAATCCACCATGGAGAAGGGCCATCCGCTGGGCTTCCTGTTTCAGTTGGATCTCAAGTTCCTCCGCGGTGGGTTCATACTCCTCGGCCTTGGCCTCCTCATTGGCCACTGTGAGGTCCGCAGAGCCGTCGACCACTGAATCGAAAAATTTGCTCAGGGAATCCAGCTTGTTGAGGCCTGAAATACCATGCGTTAGTAAATAAATGAATAAACTCGCACGAACTCACCTTCATAACGGAAAGGCTTGGTCGATCCAGGAGAATAGACGAGAACCTTCGACTCCTTCTTCACCAGATCTCCCGCCTCGAATCCCAGGGCCACAGAAGACTTTCCTTTGCGGTCACGATGGGTTCCAAATTCTAGCTCTCCCTGGTATTTGTTGGCGAGGACTTTCCATAGGAGCGGTACTTTCTTGTCCTTGGTCAGGAGTAGCGTCCGTTTCTTGTCGATTGTCTGCGACGAAGTTCAGGATATGGTTCTCATCTGCCCCGTCTGAGAGTCGGCTCACCTCTTCGACCCACGGTATGATATCCTCAGTCTTGTACAGTTTTTTGAATGCACCGGGTACCCGGCGTGACGCGAAATAATATAAAGCACTAGCCGTTCTTTCGCCGGACTCGTAAAGCATTGGAGGGACTTCTTTCCCGCGAGGGAATACCTAGATCGGGTTAGCATGTGGGAGCTTGAATCGACGCTTAGTTCACCTTGATGGTGGGGAAGCCTTGGACACCCTGTTCTGCGCACAAACGTTTGTTCTTTTCATCGTCGCAATCAACAGCGTAGAGGGGAATGAACGGGTGCAGTCCTAAGGCGGCCTTGCTGTATTCAGGCACCATTCGTTGGCAATGCTATGAATCATGGCATGAGGAATGAAAGCGAGAATGAAAAAGATCTGGACATACCCCGCACCAAGGAGCGACGAAGGCAACCATACTAGTTTGCTGCATGCCAGCTTAACAACTGCTTAGATGAAGAACATGAGAGACCAACGTTTGCTTTCATTGTTTTCTTGAAATTCTTCGCGTCGAGCATCTTGACCAGCGAGTCGGGCGGGAAGATGGCCGCCGAGGCGAACGCCGGCACCAAAACAAGTGACAGCAAAAGCCGGGAAGAAAACATGGTGGTGAAGTTAAGGTAGAGACCCGAAACACTGTATTTATACCGCCAAATCGACTGACGTGGAGACCTCGGTCGTAGGATCACGTGGGCTCGGCACAGCAGATGTGTTCCCGCAATTGCCGCCCCGCCCTGAACCGGTTGACGCGTTCAATAAATCTCACACGCGCGTATATTTTCCGGTACCGTACTCTTGGTGTATCTCGACTTCCGCTGCCGCTGCGTGGACCTAACAGTGAGTCCCGTGTACGCGAAACCAGCTCAGTCACATCACCTGATGTGACTTCTCCCGTTCAATTAGCAACTTTTCTCAAGCGACGCAGCACTGGTTCATCTCCATTGCCAGCTAAAAATACCCGACGCCAAACTTTCAAAGGACCACCTTTTTTTGAGCCGAACTACGCCAGAGCTCTAAGGGCTTTGTTACAACTTGAATTTTGCCTTCGGAATGGTTCGTGCCAATGTTTACGAAGTTTGCTCCTATGGATCAGAACAGCATGCATTCGTATGTCTTTCTGAACTGTCGAATCAAGCATGAATACCGCGTGGCCCTGGATCCGAGTCCTCGAGGCTACTAGGAGTCTATCACGCACCTGGCGCGTGCGCACGGCATCCTTATCCTCCTTTAAAAGGGCTGTCTTCAAAACTCCGTTTCTCACAACCGCGCTCCGTTCCTCCTAACTTCACCGATTACTGTATCATCGTACGTAGCAACAAATAAGTGTGCCCGCCCATGCTCATCACCGGATTCTAGAACCATGCTCCCTGTGGCAGACTTCAACTTTGTCGTTTGTGGAATCGCAACGATCGCAGCCACTGTCGGTTATGCCTGCGTTAGAAATTCCAGACCGCTTCCGTACGTCGCTCATGGAAATCTTCTCATCTGGACTTATTTAACATCTTCACAGGCGCGGCGCAGCGCAGCATTCTCCTGAGGACAATTCCAGCTCGGAAGAGTCATCGAGCAACATGGTCTCCGAAAAACAAGTTGACGCGTTGAATTCAACCCGCGAGAAAAGCCCCTTCCACCTGGAATCACAGACCATAATTACCGATAAAGGCAGCTCGTTAAAACGCAAGCGTACACATGATCAAGACGACTCGGAAATCGACCCTGTACGTCTGCAATTGCACTCTCCACTATTAAGGTGTTGAATAGCTGCTATCCAGGATATGGGATACCCACATGTTCGTTGTTTCCCTATGGATCCATATCATCGCTGAGCCTCCGTTGCTCAGAATCTCAAGTCGATTTACCCAAACAAACGTCGGAGTGGATCTGTCACTCCGGAGCAAGGTCTAAATGAAAGCGCGGTTGATATTATCCATTCACTCTAGGGAGGTCTGTTTCTGATTCCTCTCATAGAAGGAAATGACTCTGGACGTCTGCGACTCGCCGACCAGCGATGAGCCACATGCTATAGCCGACCCAACTCCTCCAGAGCCAGTTCCGCCTCCACCGACGGCTCCCGCTGTCCTCAGTGAAATTATACCGACACAGCCAGAGGTCGTCGAGGACATCTCAGTTCCAGAAGAGCCCAAAAAGGAGCCTATTTTCCCAGAAATACCCCGGTTTGTGTTCCACCAGCCGCCTCCACGCATTACACAATTTCCCTCCAGCGTAAGACCATTTTCGTTGATCCACTTCAGTAACTTGACACGCGGCTTGCCCTTAGCGGAGTAGGGCGACTTCCGGATTCGCGAATTTTGCCGGATCCTCGTCGCCATTCCACTCCTTCAGTCCGTCGAAAAACAGTGCCCCCAATGCCGGGAAGCCGATTTGGGCCAGCACCACAGACGTTTCTACGGTAGAAACAACCGCGTCTAGCCTGGACAATGCCAATGAACCTGAGGGGAAGAGCGAGTCGGTACCTGCTCTCATTCCAGCGAAGGTCCCAACTCTCGCTATACAATCCCGTCAGTCCACAAACTGCAACGTGCAGCCGTCAGCGCATCTAAACGCCTGCAGATTTAACCGGAGAGGAAGAGGAAGACGTGACCTTGGACCTCAAAGGCGTCAAGCTCTTCGTGAAGCGCGGAGATGATAATTTCTCGGGCGGGATGGTGGGCCACATCAAGCTTCTGTCCCACAAGAAGACTCTCTCCAAACGACTGCGTGCGTTCCGTCCCCCGGCTATGTATGCCCCGGCGAGCCGTATTAATAGAAAAGTTGCAGTTTTCCGGCGGGAGCCTCTGTGGAAGGTTTCGATGAATGTGCGGATGCAGCCGACCGTGCGATGTACTTTCGATTCGGCGGAGAATGTTATTCGCGTCGTGCTGAAAGAGCTCGAGGAAACAGCCGACGCTTCTGCACCACAGACTGTTATTTATGCCTTCAAGGTGAGTACTCACATTGGTAGGCGTTGGATCGAAGATTGATTTGAAATGAATAGCCTGGTCGGTCGTGCCAAAGGAGCGACTTTCGAGACTTTGCAGAGTCATTGCTCGCGCAGGCGCGGGAAGCTGGCCAATCATAATTTAGTAGACCGACATATATAATTGATTCATGGGAATTTCTTTTGAGTTGGCCTCAAAATCATTTAGCGAAACCCAGAAAGGATGCAAAAAGCTCTCGAGCGGGGAGTCGAACCCCGGTCGCCCGCGTATGCAAGTAAATTGACAAGCGGGAATCTTAACCGTTGGACCACCCAAGACATGGTTTCAGGGGCTCAAAGAAATAGTTAAAGGCCATATTGTGGAAGCACGGGCCGAAGCTTCCCGTGTTCCGAGTTGTGCCGAGATGATGGATTGGACTCGGCACCTTCGCTCGTGTCCCCGTTCAAGTTCTTCGCACCAGCTCCTTGGCAGCTCCCATGGGTTACTCGTCCAGATGGGACCAACCTCCGAAGGAAAAGCAGTCCTCCAGACCTCGCACTGGTGAGATACATCGACCACCAAAATTAGCCTTAATGAGACTCACCTCACTGCTTGTTCTGACATCTCATTTTTCGCACACTATGGGTTCACTGTGGTAAAATAAAAGAACGGTCTCCGTCGCCAGTTTCCGAGAGACACCTCCGCGACGACAATTCGTACCACCAGGGCCGTTCCTCCAGGCACTCTGACTCGGCATCGCGCTCCCATACTTCTCGTCGTCACGCCGCCGATGCAACGCTAAGCGGCCGCGACGAGCCAGAACGCACGTCGGAAAGGCCAGACGTTAGTTTTGTCGTCTGATTCAGCCGTATCTGGGCTTAGGCTTCTGCAGGTTAAACGAGCCCGAAGAGATCCAAGTGTGGACTCTGATTATCGTTCGCGGAAGGACGAAAGCTCTTCAGTAAGCACACTTTGGATTGCATTTTTTGCTCTTCCCATGCGTATTCTTAGAGCAAACGGAAGCGGAGCCGCAGCCCACGGGGAAGACACGAACATTCAGATTATTCAGTCAGTGTGTTTTAATGTCCGGAACGTTTGCGCTATATCCTCAGTGTGTAGCGCCGGCGCAGTCGAACCTTGAGTCCGAGCCCCAGCCGAGAACGCCGCCGCACTGGCTCTTCAGTGGTGCGTCCATCCTCGCATCCATACAGAAACAACGGGTTTTGACCTCGGAAGGCGCTGTCATGGAAAACATGAATTTCCAACGACTATTAGGGCAAAGACGAGTATTCCAAGGACCGTGAGGGCTCCTCGACGCGCGATCGAAAAAGCAGCAAGAGACGGAGCAAGGACGAGGAGGACTCGGATGAAGAGGAGGACAGAAAGCGACGCAAACGGAGGAAAGAGCGCGAACGCTCTAAGGAGAAAGAGCGGGAAGAGCGAAGGAGTGTGTTGACCGGGAAAAAGGTACGTATTTCCTTTCTCTTCGTTCGTGTCACACGAGTCCTCATACGGGTTTGCAAAGATCAAACTCAAGGTCAAAAAGGAGAAGGGAGACGATGAGCGAGACGCCAATCGACAGGATCTGCTACGATTCTTGAACTCGATGTAGCCACTTTGCTTTAGAGTTTACTTGCATTTGTGTCCGCGTCTGCTTTCCACAAGTTCTTAAGCGGTTCTTGAACTCGATGTAGCTACTTTGCTTTAGAGTTTTATGTCCGCGTCCCAATCCTTAAGCGGGCATGGAATGACAACAAGACCAAATTGACTGACCTCAGGCCGTGACGACGCGTTGCGACCGGTTTGCACTCCGACTCTTTTACGCGTTTTTTGGGCGGGAGCTCTCCTCACGCACTCCCCCTCGCCTTACATTCAACAAGACACTCCTTCGACTAAACCGCTCGCAAAATGGACACAGATTTGATAAAGCTGGTGAACAAGCTTCAGGATACGTTCAACAACCTGGGTGCGCCTCCGAACCGCTTCTTGAGCCGCTCTCGAGTTATTCAACCATTTTTTTACAGGCGGGGAGCTGGACATGCCCCAACTTGTCGTTGTGGGCAGTCAATCAGCAGGGAAATCCAGTGTCCTCGAGACGTGCGTCGTCATAATTTTCCACCTTCGCTATCTCATGTGATTTTGTGTTATAGCATCGTTGGACGGGACTTTCTCCCCCGTGGCCAGGGCATCGTTACGCGTCGGCCACTGGTCCTCCAGCTGATACACACTCCCGAATCCAGCGATCCCTCTCCCAGCAGCCCCACCTTCCGGGAATGGGCCCAATTCCTCCACATTGACAAGAAATTCACCGACTTCGGCGACATTCGCAAGGAGATCGAGCAGGAGACGTTTCGGGTCGCGGGCCAGAACAAGGGTGTTAGCAAGTTGCCTATATCGCTCCGGATTTACAGTCCGGACGTGCTGGATCTCACCCTCGTCGATTTACCCGGGTTGACCAAAGTGCGTCCCTTGACGTCGTTGTATACAAAAGTATTGACGGGGGCATATTCTAGATTCCCGTCGGAGACCAACCGAGTGATATTGAACGCCAGATTCGCAACCTGGTGCTGGATTATATTTCCAAGCCGAACAGGTGTGTGGCTACACCTCGTTCCGGCACCAAGTCCTTACGCGTCAAAGTGTCATCCTTTCCGTATCACCGGCTAATGTTGACCTGGCCAATTCGGAGTCTCTCAAGCTCGCCCGTCAAGTCGACCCACAAGGCCGGCGGACAATCGGTGTTCTGACGAAGCTGGACTTGATGGATGCTGGGACCAATGCTTTGGACATCCTAACAGGCCGCGTCTACCCCCTCAAGCTCGGGTTCATCGGCGTCGTAAATCGCAGTCAGCAGGACATCAATGGGGAGAAGAGCATGGAAGCGGCGTTGAACAGCGAAACGGAGTTCTTTAAGAGCCACCCCGCATATCGAAATATCGCCCACAAGAACGGGACAAAATTCTTGGCCAAGAGTCTGAACCAAGTGCGTCACATATTTTAACAAGGAAACAGCCGTCGTTAACATTTCTGTGCAGGTCCTAATGAACCACATTCGGGACAAGCTCCCGGATATGAAGGCCCGGTTGAACACCCTGATGGGCCAGGCTCAGCAGGAGCTCAACTCGTTCGGCGATTCGGACAGCTTCGGAGACCAAAACCAAGTCCGTGGCATTATTTGACTGCCAGCCTTCCCAAACTGACGGATAATTCTAGCAAGGAGCCCTCATTCTGCGATTAATGACGCAGTTTGCACGCGACTTCGTTTCTTCGATTGAAGGAACCAAGGTGGATATTTCCACAAAGGAGCTCTCGGGCGGTGCCCGGATATACTATATCTTCAACGATGTCTTCGGACAGGCTCTCGACTCCATCGACTCCACCCAAAACCTCGAGAACCAGGATATCCGGACCGCAATTCGCAACTCCACGGGCCCGCGTCCCAGCCTCTTTGTCCCTGAAATCGCATTCGATCTCTTGGTAAAGCCTCAGATCAAACTGTTAGAGGCTCCGAGTTTGCGCTGTGTGGAACTCGTGTACGAGGAGCTTGTGAAGATTTGCCACAATTGCACCAGCACGGTAAGAGTTGCCGGCATCTGGCGTCGTCGGTAGCTGATTCGCCATGCTTTCCAGGAGCTGCAGCGGTTCCCTGGCTTGCACGCCAAACTCATCGAAGTCGTTTCTGAACTGTTACGGGAGCGGCTGGGGCCCACATCTGATTATGCACAGAGTTTGATCGCAATACAGGCGGCGTACATTAACACAAATCACCCCGCATTCATCTCTGGATCTGCTGTCGCTGCACAGCAAGCCAGTTCTCCTCCAGTTCGGCAGATGCCCCCACGCGTGAGTCACCTCTGGCTGCTCTCTTTTCATTTTCACTGAACGGTTATTCGCCAGCCTGCATCTACTGAGCCCACGAATGGCACTGGCACAGACGAGGACGCGGACTCGTCAGACGAAAACGGGCTTCCTAGCGGAATTTTCCCTCCGCGCGACGGACGCTCCGTCTCCGCCACACTACACGACCGCGGCCGGACGTCGACCGGGTCCACTCCTACGCTCGCCAACACCCTTGTGCCGTCACGAAAAATCCCAAATCAACCGCGGCCTCACTCTGCAATGGCCCAGACCCACCGCGGATCGCCGCCTTCAGCACGGGAGACGTTCTTGAACTACTTCTTTGGCCAGAATGGCCCGGGCCCGATCGCTGGGTCGAGCGTGGGGAATGTCGGACACCAGGCGCGTCCGAGTGGGAGCGGGCACAGCGTCGTGCCTGTGGGGCGGGACACGTCTGGCGGGGAGAGCTCCAATATGACTATCGCGTCCGGACTCATGTCGGGACAACGCAACATGGACGGAAACAATGCTGCGTACGATATGAAGAGTCTTGGGAAACATATCGAAGCTGTGAGCTCATCCCTTTCCTTATCTCCGTTCGCACCTAACGAATGCGTACCCCAGATTCCTTCCGACGGGAGCCACCTCACCCTGCGAGAAGAGATGGAGACGTCTCTGATCCGCTCTCTTATCGCATCGTACTTTGGGATCGTACGGCAGAGCATCCAGGACCTCGTACCCAAAGCGATCATGCACTTCCTCGTCAACCACACGTCGTACCATGTGCAGAACCGCCTCGTCGCATCCCTCTACAAGCCCGAGTTATTCCAGGATATGCTTCACGAGGACGAAGGGCTCGTGGCGGAGCGGGCACGGGTCAAGGCGCTCCTCGACGCGTACAAGGAAGCGTTCAAAACTCTTTCGGACGTTAATGTCAAACCTACATAGATTATACAAGCATCCACATCATTTCATGCATTTTACGCCATAATATACGGATCCCTTAGGTACTGTACTCCGAGAATCGCTCTCCAGCTCTCAAAAAAATACATGACAGGCTTGACTTGGATGCACACATGAAGAGGGGGGTGGAAGAGATCCACAAAGTGATGCCATTCCGTCTAACGTATCACAGGCAGGATAACAAACCAAAACACACGAAGAACCAGTATAGATGTAGATAGCGAGACAGATTAGCGGCGGGATCCCAAGCACGGGAGGAGGAGCGTGGAGTGAGCAGCCAGTCCAGTCCAAATTTCGGATGTGTGCGAGGGCGCATTTATGAAGGGCTAGACTCTTCAGTGGTCGTCGTGGTTTCAGGCTGGGGCTCTGCGGCAGGGGTCTGCGATTTAACTGCGACCCACTTTTCCTTCTTGGCGCCCTCCTTGACGGCGTCCTCCGCCTTGTCCGACTCCTCCTCCTCCGACGTCACCGATTCTTCGGTGTCCGCCTCCATCCCCGTGGTATCGGACTCGGAGCTGGAGGAGGAAGAAGGCTCGTC